TATAAATATAATTTTTTTAAATTTGAAAAGTTATATTTGATAAAGATAAATTTTTTAGTAATGAAGTTTTATTTTATAAATAGGATTAGAAAAACTATATATATCTATCATTTACAGCAAATTTTAACAAATTTGTAATTTGACAATTAATTACGATATTTTATTGTTAAAAACTTGCGAGAAGTTATCTTCAAAGATACGAAAGTCTTTCTGTGTAATGATAAACTACGATATCTAGCTGTAATGTGAATAAAATGCCATCGAGCGTGTCAAATTTTTCGTGTACAGAGAAATTCGATTCGCGTCATGCATTTTCCGCAACAACGTGTATATAACGATGGCGGGGCGCATCGAACGATGCCGCGGTTCGGTCCGTATTATAGCAATTCAATAATAAATTGTAGAACGGCTCGGTCGCCGCATTATGCGGCGGTAATCACAGTAATAAGCAGTTCTAAAAGTAACGTAAGTACGTTGTAGGTAGTAACAAGTGGGGGGAGGGGAGAGCCGTAATCTCGGGGGATGCCCCTATGTCCGTGGGGAGGTAAAGGAGGAGAGGAATCGAGAGAGCTGAAACGGAGGGAAAGGGGAGGGAGATGAAAGACAGACAGAGATAGAAAGAAAGAGAGAGAGAGAGAGAGCCCATGGGCGTCATCCGCGCTACGTTCCTCTGAATTGGCATAATTTACAGCCCCGTCCGAACAAATTGAGCGCGTTTATGCAAAAGGGGCGACATAAAGCACGCGATCGACGTGAGGACGATCGCGGCAAAAACCGGACTCGGCCGCCGCTTTTCCTTCCGACAAAGGAAGCGTTTTACTCTCGATCACTCGTCCCGCTCGTCGATGATTTTTGCCAAATCGACATTGACAATTCACGATCGTTCTCATCGAAGATTTTTAATTATCTTGTCTTAATTGCTTAGGATTTTTTTTACATTACGTGAAACGATTTCCCGCAGTCGTAGCTTTTGTGCGAGCGAAATTTTCGTCCGATGAATTATCCGAAATATTTTTGTCCAAGCATTTTTATTTTATTTGCGAATGTATAACGGAAAGAGGTTCGAATTATAGAATATTCGTCGGATGGCAAGTCACGCGTATGTACGCCTATGAGACGGCTATACGGGGACTATGTTGTACGTATCCGTTAAGCCAACATCTAATTCGATAACTGGCGAAAATAATAACGTAGCGATCCGTTGCGTTCGCGGCGCGCAATCATCCGTACCGGGTGTCCGCGGAGAACTACAAGACCTATAAGGCGCTTCTTCCGAGGATATTTTATTGCTCGTATACAAGTGTAATAATCGCTACCGCCTGCTGTATACGAATACGAAAAATTCTTCCGAGTCACGTCGAGCATCGTGAGATATTTGCCGAACGCGTTCGTGTTTGATCTCTACGTTTAACAAAATTTACAGTGGAAAACAGAAAATCGGTAGATTTACAGGCGTTAAAATCGCATACGCGAAATAAATGCATGTACGATAAGACAAAGATTTGCGATATTTTCAACTTTCTTAGCGAAAGATTAAATGTCAAACAATTCTTCGATTTCCAAGTTTGAGTCTCGAGTACCTTCAGGATAGCCGGCCCGATCCGGTCGTTTGAAATAAATCAGATAATTTTTCCGACGTGTTCGAGGAAGGAGAACGGTAGCGATTTATAACGAGACGAGACTGTTTCACTATCTCGGTAGCACGGATGACACTTATTAAAAGTTTCGGCTCGAGTCGCCGCACACACGAGGCATCGATCTTCCCCCCTCGCGCGTCTCTTTCTTCCCGCACGAGCGCGATATACCCTCTACCTTGTTACCCGTCCACGAGAAATACCGAACAGTTTAATAAGCAAGAGCGGTGGCGGCGATATATACCGCGATACAAGATACCACGGGTACCATCCATCACGCAACGCGAATCGCCATTACGCTCCTCTCCAAAGTTTCGACCGGCCGAGATTGACTGTGTCTCTTTTATGAGAGCTTCCGTCTCTAGAAACTCGCGTCATTGCCCGACGTCCTTAATCCGGAGAACCTATCCGCTTCTCTGAATTCTTTTAAAATTACGGCGATATCCTCCGAGCATCATCGCGTCGCGAATAGAGGGAAATTAAAAAAAAAAAATAAAAAAAAATTGTTATCGCGGCTGTTTTAACGCGCCGGCGATAACGAAAGCTTAGGTCGGTACTCGCCATCGACCCGCCGTCACATATCCTGGCGAGGAGGTCGCGTGCAAAAAATACGTTAATTCCGCGTAGCTTGCATGACCGTGCAAATAAATAAAACGGCAAACATACATCGCGGCCTGCTGGTGTACCGTATTTTATATTTTATCCGGTACGAATGATTGATTGCGCTCCGCTACCGGGCGCTGCGAGTCCCACGGACACGATAGCATCTCGCGAAATGCCCCCGGTCGCGCCCTGCTCTCCCTTCTCACCTCTCCCCTCTTCCCACCCCTCCGACCGTACTTGTCGTTTCACGCATTGTTTATTATTGTCCGATGGTTTTATCACGATTGTCGGTATATATATTATATGGGGAAAACCGGACGCGGGGGATAATGATTCCTTCACCGACGCGCTTTCGGCGTGTGAGAAAAGGCAAGGCTACGAGTGTAATATCGTCGCACAGTTGCGACGATATTACACGTAACGTATATTATTTCGTACAACGTTATTAAGTAACAAATACAATTTATCGCGAAGAGAATAGAACGATATATGTATATATGTTTTTGGTAGGAAAGATAATCGCGCGACTATTGCCCCTATTGTGATGTGAACCGAAAAAGTTGTCGGGATTTTTGGCATGAAACGGAGTAAAAGAGGCACACAACGATCCTTATATACGCGAAGAAGATAGTAATTACAGAAGCGGGACTGAAAACGCGGGGCTCCATCAGACCCTGCGAGGCACGATCCTCGATAAGTATAGTTGTTTCAGGATCGCGTCGATGCTCTCCTCTACTCCCGCTATCTCATTTTATTGGTACAGGTTATGTGAAAAATTTATTGGCTTCGATAGTGAGCGCTAACATTCCTTCGATCAACGATCGAAAAGTTTTGCCATTTCTCCCTCTCCCCGTCTGGTCCTGAAAATTTTGAAAATTTCACTCGCAAAAGTTTCTCCTTGGAACTTGAAAAATATATCGATCATGCGAATCGCGAGAATGCATTGGCATCGCGTGATTAAATTATTCAGGTTGAATTAAATTTAAATTTGACGTCACAGAATCGAAATGGAAATGTCACGTCATGATCGAATAAATTTTTTTTGGCGAGATTTATATGTAATAACATTTTTCACAAAATTGTTTCGACTTCTTAATTAATCGATATATATTGAGAAATTTCTGGCTAAATATTAAATAGTCGAT